TCTATCCAGCTGGCTCTCAATCGGTGCAGTGCTCTCGCCAAAGACATCAAGTCTGGTGCCTGTGAAGCAAAAAAATTCTTTCATAGCTCATTCGAACCACCTTGAAAAGGGCTACAAAAATGTGTTGCAGTGACACAGTTGTTCGAAAGAAGCGCGTGATGTTGTTTGCAACAGATGAGCAATTGCGTATGCTTTTTTCAGCAAAAACCATTATGATCGATGGAACATTTTCGGCATGTGTACCACACTTCAATCAAGTGTTTTCGTTGCATTGCAGGAAGCATGGATACAGTAAGTCAATTCCAAGTTTTTTAAATACCTATTTAACAGTGAACTACTTTTCCTTAAAGATTTTCCATGTGTTATCGGTTTGTTGCCTGGTCGAACTGCTTCAATATACAAGCATGTCTTCGAGGTATTGGATGCAGCAGCTGAACGTCTTAATTGCAAATTTAATCCAAACAAAATCATGTCCGATTTCGAGCAAGCTCTTATCAAGACAATTGCTTCATATGTAAGCAATAACTTTCATATCGATCTGATTTTATTACATCTTTACTTCTTTTAGTTTCCGAACACGCAACATTCGGGATGTTTCTTCCACTATACCCAGTGCTTGTATCGTCGTATTCAAGCACTGGGATTAAGCACGTTTTACAATAACGATGAAGAAATGCGCTCGTTGTGTAGACACTTGATGGCTTTACTACTACTACCAGTTGAAGACGTTCAACGAGCTTTTGAAACACTTAGTGAAGAAGTTCCGGTGGAATTGCAACCATTATTTGAATATTTCGAGGATTGGTGGATGAAGAAGGTACCGTTTCATCTTTGGAATGTATCGAATTTAAAAGTAAAAATTACCAACAATGTTGAATATGAGGCATAATTGTTTTTTGTATTGTTCTAACCTTGTTTTTCTCATTGTAGCTTGGCATAGTCGATTCAACAAAAGAATCGAAAAAAACCATCCTAATTTTTGGTCATTTGTGAATGTATTGAAGCAAGAAGAAGTTCATGTTAAACAACAGTTAATTCATGGCAATTCTGGCAAGTTAAAAAAGGCGTCAAAGAAAATGCATGCACCATGCAGGATAAACTTAAAGAACTTCGAAGGAGATACGACGAACAGACGATTAAATTGAATGAATATCACAACGAATTATCAAAGCTTATCGGCACAAAATGAAAATTATACGAATGTGTTGGTACATGTATGACTCTAGCTCTTCGTTCTCACTCATATGCATTTTTATTTTATTTTTCATTGACATGTATTCGAATTTTACCTAATAAATCATAGATTTAATTTATTCGTGCTCCAATTTTATTTTTCCATCATCAGCTTCTTTTCTTTGTATTTCATGATGTCGACCTTTTACATTGTCGACATCTTTTTTCGTTCGACATTTTACCGTCGACGTTTGACTACTTTCCCGATCATTACACGCTTATATACCGTGCTCTCATGGTCTGTATTAAAAACAGTCAACGTTTCGAAAGTATGTAAATATTATTGTTGTGTTTGCTGTCTTTTCTTTTCTTAAATACGATTAATAATTGGCATAGTAATATTAACTTTAGTGTTGAGAAGGAAACGCACGATGAATTACCCTATCCCGATGTATTGGTAAAAAGAAATCTTACTGGCAAAAGTATGATAGCACCTTATGCAAGAAACCTACGGATACTGGATTCTATCTAATATTTGAAAGTAACCAGTGTCGACGATATAAATTAAGTCTAATTCAAACATTGTCAGTACGTATATTTCGAATTTATTCAATTCAGGAATTTGTAAAAATTGAAATCAATAAATTGACAAGAACATTAACAGACAATGGCTACCCTTCGTATATTATTCGTAAAGGTATCAGACAAGGGGAAGCAATCGCGAAACAGTTGAACAACAAAAAAGAAATTCATTCCGAATTAAGAAGTGTTTATTTTACACCTTACTTTGGAGAAGAAACATATTTATTGGGACAGCGTATCAAACAGCTATGCAAAAGATTGATACCAATGTTAGATGTTAAAATTGCATTCAGAAAGACAACTACGTTGAAAAGTGTATTCTTGCCGGTGCTCAAAGGAATAGACGAAAGTAAAAAGACTAAAAACATCATCTATTGTATACCTTGCAAAGATTGCAATTTAAAATACTACGGAGAGACAGAAAGGGATAAAAAGATCAGAACAAATAAGTACCGTCATGACGTTAGGAAAGCGTCATGACGCAATATTATACTCATTGATTAAAATAATGCAATTATTTGACATTAATATTTGATTTCTCTACAGTGTTTGAATGTTACTCGCTGAAAATTATCATTCTCTAAATTGATCATGTTGTTCGAATTTTATTCTTTTTCCTGTGATATTCTGAATTCACTTCGATTTCAAATAAAATGTTCATCGCATAATAACATAATCGTTTGGCGTCATTAAGCGAACTGATATCCTAATCGGTGGTAGTTAGAACTAGGGACACCATTAGGCGAAATCTTATCCTAGGGGTGACATTGATTTCCGCTGCTTTTTTCGCAGAATTCGAAACGAGATTAAAATGATTTCTTTTCGACATCTTTTCTTGTGACTTTAAAGGCTTTATGTTAGTCAGTCTAAGGATTTTCTATGTCGTTAAGATGCTTGCATTTATTATTTACCGCTCTGCCTTGTCCTTTAGAACTTTAAAAAAAGTAGCCAAAAATGTGTACAATAATACTTTTTTCCTCTTTATAACGTTCTCTTACGAGGGAACCTCTCGAGGTGATTAAAAGCTTTTCGACTCAGACTATTTTCATCGTGTAGGGAATAGTCAGCAGTGAAAAGCCCCAAGTTGGTTTGGGCCCATGCACCTTTTTGACGGAGATATGAGTTAATT